GTTAACTTGTGAATTGATCTTCAATAGAGTTCTTTAATCGTTCAAAGTTCAAACTAACATTGAGAGGTAAACTTACTATAATCAATAATGAATGTGTTTATAAATCAAGATCCTGATACTCTTGATTAAGGTCTAAGGCTCTCAAAATGTGATATGAATGGTATAACCTTAATAGTGGGTATAAATCTTAAAAGACAAGATGTAGATGAATATGAATCCAAAAAATACGTCGAAACACGAAATAGGTCGAGCCCGAATTGTCATTGTTGCTCGAGCGCTCTCCTAGCTCCAGGCGAGTGGCGTCATGGAGCGAAATGTTGGTGCTAGGCTGGCGCTAGCTCTCTACTACGTTCTTCACCCCCCAATGTTCGGGCACTTCAAGACCATGGGTCTTTTTGAAAAAAAACCTAGTGTTCTTTTTTCAAAATGAATTTTAGAACGTGGAGACAAAACATGAGCTAATCATCTGCTTTAAAATTCGATAAAAATAAAAGAGTTCTTAAATATTAAAATTAACAAATTTATTTTAGAAAAATGTCGTAAGTTGCCTGTTTACACTCTTTAATTTATTTTATAATTTGCTATGAGATAATTTTCAACTACACATTCACACAATAAAATATTTTACACATATACCAAAAATAATTTCCTATTTTTTAACCACACATTCTTATAAAAATCAATATTAAAAACTCTTTTTTCTACCAAAATGGTTTAAATACTAAGCCCCCGTTTGATGCACATTTTTGGAGAAAGAATGCATTTTTACTGTTGATGTGATGAGGAATATGTGATTCAAAAAGAAAGAAAAGTTATTGATATTATTTTATTGAAAAATGTGTGGTTAAAAATAAGTAAAAGAATGAGAATGAGAAAAATAATGTGGCTCAAACAGAACCTAAATTAGAATTTACGCAACCGTGTATATAGTTTCATGATTAGAAATCATAGTAGACAGGTAACATGTTGTGGGAACATCATCTATAACCATCATAAAATAAGAACATGGGTTTTTTTGAAAAACCAAGCAACCGAAATTCTCTCATCAATTTAATTTGTTGTTTGAGAGTTTAACCATAACTTCAACAAAGCTTTATTGGGTAAAATGAGTAACGTGGATCCACGAATGGGTTGATTTGTGATTTATTTAGGAAAACATGCATCAATGGGGATTGCCTTGGATCGTGGACCAAAAACTGTCAACTTCCCAGTTGCAAACTTTAGCAACTGACGATAACTCCACCGCCCCACTGCTTCGAATCAATTCGTCCGCCGTGCGTCAATCCTCCGCAACACCCCTTCAGTTTCTCTCTCGATCTTTGCCTTCAAAAGGGAAAGTCCCATTTGCAGTTTTTTCAAATGGGTACAACCTCGAATCCACTCTGTGTTTCATATCTGCTGAATTCTTGCTGGGTTTTTGTACCTTTTTGTTTTTAGACAATTTGGGTTTCAGCATTCCATTCCCATGAAGGCTGAGACTAGAGGGATCATTAGACTAAAATGTTC